CAGCAGGAAGCTTGTATTCTGTTTTGTGCAGATCAAAGGAGATGGTCACAACGGTTTTGTAATCTGCAAATCTGCATTACAGCTGATATCAGCCCTTTAACCTTTCAAATCTCACAGACATGACTCCTATGTAGGCTAATACAAAGCTGTCAGGCTTGTAAATCTTGAGTGAGCATGCACAGAATTTTAGCCTGAATTGGAACCTTTTGTTCAGCTCTGCTGAAAATAAGTGCTTTGCAATAGTCCTTTTTTTTTTCTACTTTCCATTTAAACCAAATAAAGATTTGGAGCTGAGGGAGTCTTCGCCTTAAGAAACCAAGCAGGGCGTCTAAACAGAAGTTTATTAACCTTCTAGAATAATCAGGGCCAGGACTGTGAACGTGTATCCTGTTCTTAGGAAAGGTAGAAGTGCAGTGAGATATTTTACCTTAGGTTCTTGTTTATTGATCTTACAAGTCACTTGGGAACTGTCCCTGTGCTTCTTTTGGAGCACCCTAATTGCGTTGTTCTCACTACCAGCATTTCAGTAAGGAAGGAAGGTAGAATTTAGGAACTCATTTTTAAGATCTATGTAGACGTATGGTTTTTTTCAAAGATGTCTCCTATATGTGTTTATAGATTTGCCCTTATAGAATAAATTTCCTACACACTTATTTTTTAAAAATGCTCAATTGTTAAAAATCTTAATTAAAGCAGAAAGGAGTAGCCTACTAGCCTAACAGACTGAGAGAGAGACTTAATACAGAATGACTGTTAACATTGCCTGGAGAATTTTCTTTTTAATTTTCAGTATCACCTTTCAGCTTCAGAAAACAGTAGCCTGTTCTGCAGTACTCCTGGGCTGAGCTCAGTAGTGTGCTGGAATTACGGAGTGGCTAAGCTAGGAGTGTGCAGTTACTGAGGAGAACCCGAGTTAGTGTAATTCTTTTTATCCTAAATGCTTCTGAATGTCAAGAGACTTCAGAATCCTAGGGCTGCATTGGAGAATTCTTTCTTGTTTCAGTCAGTAATTGCACCTGCTTTATAGTCATCCTGACAAATGATGTTGTGATTTGAAAGCAAATCTGCCTTAGATCCTCCATGAAAGCTTAAAAATATGCTAAAGAATATAAAGAGAAGAACTCTCACTCTTATGAAAAGAGAATGAGGAAACATGGTTTTGGAATGCAAAAATGAATCTATACATTTATTGAGCACTTTTCATTAGATGATTTGACAGTACTATATAAAATGTGCTGTTCATTTTTGCAGATTTCCAGTGGTAATGCTTTAAGAACATAGATACAGAATGTAAAATTTTCAGTTCTTCCTTCCATGTATCTAAATCAAAGCCATTCCTCACGTCTGAATGAAACATAAACTTTAATTTGGATTAAGAACTTTAAGCAACCTTATTTATAGAATAGTCTGCAGCAACTGTTTTAGGAATCAAATTCGTATTTCACATTTTCTGTGAATTTGTTACATCCTTAAGAATGTCACTGAATATCATCTGTGCAATAAGTTGGTTATAGGAACAGCACTGATTCTGGCTTTATGGTTGAAAAATATCAGCACGTGCCATTTATGTCATACATCTAAATGTGTATAGATACTTACTTTCTGATGTTCAAAAATCGAAGTTTAAAATAATTTCAAGCTCATAAGAATGAGTCATAGTTTTATCAAGATGGAAAACATGCATAAAGCGTGATGACAAACTCACTGTTCGTCAGCTCCTCCAAAATAGCTGTTTGCAGGCCTTTACTCTAATAAATGAGACATAAATCATCCTTTTTTCACTGAGAATTAGGTACTTTCATACTACTTTATATTTATGATCGTGTGAAGTGTTAACAGACACAATTGACCACAAACCACTACTAACTTTTTTCTAATTTCTTGTTAGCAGCTTCTAGTGCCAATATTAGCTTGTATGCTGCGATGCCGCCTTGAATATGAGCTAATTTGAGATTATCTTGGATTTAGGTAAAAAGTGAAATTGAATTGCAACAAATACCGTAATAGTGTACATTCAGAAATACATTTTATTTGCCTAATACATGTCCACGTGTTGCCCTAGGTCAGGAATAGGCCCAGAAACAAATGTTCTACCATATTGTAATTTTTTCATTTTGTAGGTAGAGATTTTTAAGCCGCAAAGAGTGTTTAGCCTGTTTTTTATCTGTATCTGAAGTGATCATGTTTTGCTGAATGTTATCCAGGGTGCTTCTACTCTTAGCTCTTTGTTCACGTAACATCCAGTTAGTAGGGGATACAACTACCATGATGTTAGAAAAATAGATCAGTATTTGCCTGATCCTAAAAAAAACTCTGACAAGAACTTTATGCTAAATTTAAGGGACATTCCTAATGCCGTAGGATTACAAGACTAGTCTTGATGCTTCCTGGCACTGCATTTCAGGAAAATAGCTATCTTCCCTCCCCAGATGAAAACTAATCGTATGGTTATATTTTTAACTACAAAAGTGGCTGACTTACTAAAATCTAAAAGGGCAGTTTTTAAGTAGGACTGGAGTTTTTTTACTACAGCTTCTTTACTGCACCTGTTCGAGTCACTCTGGGACCGTTCAGACTAATTTTGGATTTTGCTATTTTAAGCCCTCGCAGGACACTAGTCTTATTTATGGTATTTCTTTTCAAGCATTAAATGCTTATTTCTTAGGTGTCTTCAAAACAGGTAATTGTTTATTGCATAACCAGGTGCTCTGCAAATACTGTTTTATCACTTTTTGATAGAGGAAATTACACTTTGAGTTGAAAGTTGTAGTTAACTGAAGAGGAAGCAAAATGCACATAGCAGGCCAAAGGAGATGAGATTTACTTCTTTGTATAAAGCATAGACATTACAATAAACAGCTAACACATTTTTCTTTGATCTTCCTATAAAATCAACAAGCCAGTTCTTAAGGTGTCTTTCTTCTGGCTTTGTAAGTGAGATGTCATGAATCAGACTACAGCCCCTAGGTTTTTTAGCCTCATTTACCTGATGTTATTGTGGTGAGATTGTTATGTCTAACCTGACTGACAGATGCATCAGTAGACAGGTCCCCTCCACCTGAATTCCATAAGACTGTGCACTAATGACACCAAGTTGCTGCTTGAGCTGCAGTCCCACCTTGCCATTCAGCCAAAACTTGTTTTGTAGCTCTCAGGATGCTGTCTCAGGATATATTTCAAGTAATGAATGAGTTCCTGGCTTCTGTGAAGTCTCCATAGGCCCAAATTTTTCTTCAATAGTAATACATTGGGGGGGGAAAGGTCTCTTGGGGGGGCGGTTAGCTCAGTGGTTTGAGCGCGGTGCTGGCAACAAGGACGAACACCAAGGCAGCGGGTTCGATTCCCGCTCGGTCCCCATGTGTTTCCAGGTCTAGTTGAGAGGTGGCATCCCTGCCCAAAACAGGGAGGTTGGACTAGATGATCTCTGAGGTCCCTTCCAGCCTATGCCATTCTATGATTCTATGATACATCAACTTAATTTCCATGGATGCTTTTTTCAAATATGCAAAGCATTAGGTGGCCAAGTCCTGGTTAATTTTAATGGTATTAGGCAATGATCTCCTTCACTGTTTCTTGCATCTCCTGTTGCAGTATAACTGTAAAGTCTTTAGGTGGGATCCCAAACTACAAAGAATCTATTGACCTGATTTTGATCACACAGGGAATCTCTTTTAGAAGCACAGAATCATAGAATGGTTTGGGTTGAAGGGGATGTCTCTCACTAGATCAAGTTCCATCCAACCTGATTTCAAACAATTCCAACAACGAGGCTTCCACAGCTTGTCTTGGCAACCTGTTCCAGTGGCTCAGCACCGGAGAGAAAGATGCTGAATCCAAATCTTAGTGGAAATTAATAGCATAATCACACTTCTTCATGTATATAAATACCTGAGGGGTGGGTGCCAAGAGGAAGGACCCACCTGGACACGTTCCTGTGTGACCTACTGTAGGTGATCCTGCTCTGGCGGGGGGTCTGGACTAGATGATCTCTAGAGCTCCCTTCCAACCCCTGACATTCTGTGATTTTATGATTCTAGTATAGAGATACATAACATCAGCATGTGTGTACTTTTCTTGTTTGTTATGAGATTCTAGGATTTTTTTGCAAAAGAAGAAGTCACTAAATGGATGGGTTCACTCTAAAAGTGTTGACACTGACGTTCCAAGAAAGCAAAATCAAGAAATTCTCAAAGTAGCTCTTACATAAAACATGTTTTATTGTTCGAAGTCTTCCAATATGTCTTTCATGCATCAATCTCACAATTGCCAAATACATTTGCTGGGAAGTCCTGGTGGGAGCTTGGATTTCCTTCACAGTAGTAAAGCGAAGAAGTACCCAAGCTAGCACAGTTGTAACTGTGCCAGAAAGAGAAAGGAAATGAACCTTGGGTTACACACTACTACAGCGAGGCTGCTTACTGTGCTGTGGTCAGAAACATAACCATATCTGGAATCATACTCTCCTTCTATGCCTGTTGTCTGTATCTAAGGGTCTCATTCTTTGGCACATTGTGGCTCACTTCCAGTAAGAAGGATGGAACATGGTTCCCCATCTGGTTTACGACCTGATGGCTAGAACATGCCACTAGTAAGTGGGAACTTGCTACTCAAACTCCTTTTGACTGTGGTGTCCTCATAACTAGGCCTCGATTTCCTAGTGAATATTTTAGACATTCTGCCATGAGATTTAAGAAGTACTTGACATATTTTGTGACTTACTCGAGCATTTAGCAATCCATATCTGGCCTGCCATCCTAATAAGACTGTTTCAGGATGACAGCGTGTGATGTAATAGTGACACAAGTACTATTGAACAGCTTTCTAGTTAGACAGCTTAGCAAACCAATAATAGCAAGTTCTTGCACCTTAGCATTCCAGAAATCGTATGGCTAACGTTAACATTGTCATGACGCATAATGAACTTCTTTAAGGCATGTCTTGCGTGAAAAAAATCATGTCATTTCTAAGGAAATGTATACTTTCTTATGAGCCCGTGATCCTTATGTAGCTCAGAAGATAGTTTTCTGCAGAGGTTTTTTGATGGTCTTTTTTGCGATTTAGTAAAGTATTGTTTGAGTGACAAGTTTTTCTCTTTCTTTTTACAGTAAATGTGCAACCTTAAAATATAAGCATATACAAATCTTTGTGAAAATACGTTGTAGGAGCCAAATAGGTTAAGAGGAGAACAGAAGAACTGAGAATTTCCATCTGTTCAGGACATTTTTCTAAGTTGCTCTTTAGAAAGTGTCTAATATTGCTGAGAAGAAGCTTCACAGAACGACTGAAATTATGCAATGATTAATTTTTCTTGCCAGGTTTAGCTCTAGCTAGGAAAGGAATGACTATTTTGCCTTTTTGTTTCTTCAGTACATAGATCTGTAAGATAAGTGTGAGAGTAAATCAAGTTTAATTTCGCAGGTCTAAAACTGTTTTTTAATCTGTAATGGAAACATTGCTAGGTATGCTAGTGCAATGGTAAGTAACTTCTTTTTTCTGCTTTGATTATGAAAAAAAAAGGTATTCTTTTCATAAAACACATTGTCATGTCTGTTTTGAAATGGGTTGGAATTAGAGAAGGAACCTCCTGCAAGGACAAAGAGCAGCGCGATGTCTTTCCTAAAGTAGTTCAGGTTCTTTGCTTTGCTTTATTTTGTTTTTTCTAAAGTGTTTCTATGTTGATGGATTTGTTTTCATTTGTTCATGCAGTCATATTTATTGGATGGTTTAATCTACTCTCACCTGTATTTATCCAGCTCATTTTCACACAGATGATAATTAGCTCACTTGAATATCCAGGGTAATGGGTAAGTTTCAGGGGCAGCATCAGTATCTAATATGTAGATAATCCTTCAGAGCAAGTCAAAACCAGTAGAAGTGATAAAGTCAGGCTATGTTCATTGCTGTGTGCTGCATGGAAGGTTGCATTAATTCTGGTATCTTTATTTTATTTTCAGGGCCCTAACTCAGTCATGATCGCCCTGGTAATGCTGTTGAATATTGGTTTAGCCATTCTTTTTGTCCATTTTCTAACTTGATTGGAATTAGGAAAGGTAAGAAAGGTCTTGTTTTCGTATAAAATCACCATATCCACCCCACCTCAAATGATAACGCTTTAATTTCTTTGCATACTTTTAATGTTCCCCACTTTAATTTTAGCTATGCCTGAATGCGATTCAACATAGTTATTTAATAATGTAACTGTTTTGACCCTTCAGTGAAGTCATGACAACTAGTGGTGTTAGCCCACAGTTCTCTGCAGTTGTGTCATCAGCCTTTTAAATGGCACCTGTCATACTCAGACACAGGGAAGGAGGCTTGGAATTAGGATGGGACGCAAGAGAGATGAAACTTGGAAAAATTCAGCCGGGGCCCAGATCAGTCTCTGCTGATGGCTCGTGGCTTTGGGGTCTTCTGAAAGCTGAAGCAAGCAGCCATGCTGGAAAGCAAACAAAATAATCTGCTGAAGCAGCCCTGCCAGTGAAGTGCGTTGGCTTCTCCATCTGTTCCAGCAGTGTGTGACTAAACTGGAAATGTACGGAGCTGCACTTTTTGTTGATGGAAGCTAACAGCTGCCTTACTATTTTACCGTCTGATGTTTTTAGTGGGGAGATGGGAAAACGACTGCCAGAGGAATGTGGTCAGAGGATTCTGTTGCTGTGGAAGTGATTCCAGCGTTCACTCCTGTCTCATTAGAAGAAATAGTTAGCAGCATCAGTCACCAGTCTTATTCCATTACCTGCTGCTTTTAACATCTCCTGCAGTGTTCTGGGAGATCAACTTTCATTTGCCTGTGCATGATTCTGTTCATTCGTTGTTTATGAAATTTGATGTATAGCCATAACATGGTGTCTGTCCAACCTGGAGAGAGCTACCAGTTCTGCCTGGCAGCAGAAGGCAAAAATGAAATCTCTTTTTCTGATCAGAAAATAAAATTCTTAAATTAATTTTCCTAGGCCTGAAAAACTGTTTTGATTTAAGGTTTAGTAGGTAAGATATCATGACTGCAAAATTTAAAGATGTTGATATCTTCCTAAAAGTGTTTGAATGGTTATGCCAATAGCAAGCAAAACTTTTCATAAGAAAAAAATTAATCTTAAATTGATATCAGCACATTCTAAACAGGAGGTAGAATGTCAGAATAAGCCGAGAGAGATGAGATACAGAGTTTCAGGGTTTGCATGTTGACTTTTTCTTCTTTTGTTTTCTTTTTCTTATTTTTTCTTTTTTATTCTGGTGCTGTGGTAATTGGTGATTTGAGTTATTATATTTAACACTGAGGTATTTTGCCAGCGGTTAAAATAAAGTCTTGTCTGAGTGCACGTTAATGCCAATGACAGCTACGCTAGCTAATGCTCATAATAAATTATCATAATTTTAAAAGACTAGATTTGTGTTGAATACATTCAGGTAGAGCGTTTAGAAACATTAAGAGATTAAGAGATTGTTTATCAATTTGATGCCTTCAGTGTTTTTAAGGTCTATTTCTAATTTTACCTCAGCATTAAAAAAGCCTCAAAATTTTTCATTTGGAAAGTTTGTCTTAAGTAGTTTCACAGCCCTTTGTTCAAATGATGTGATCATGTTTCTTTTTATGTGCCATTATTCTGTAATTACTGTACCCTGTATTAATCAAAAGCATGCTTATTTACTGAAAATACGTCGTGTGATTATTTGGCAAGTAAATATTTTAATTTACAGCTGCAAAAAGCAAAGGGCTTGTATGACAGTTTATTTTCTCTCTATTAGAAAACCTTTCACACAATGTAGTTTTTGAACCTGTTTGTAAATTTTCTAAGTGTTTGCATGGTTTAATGGGCGACATTCTTACAAAGGGCATGAGCTATCTTTTGATGCAGCGTAATAAAGTGACGTAGGTATGGACTGAATATTGTGCAGCAAAGCAGCTCCGAGCAGGGCAGTAACACCATGGTGTTTTTTACAGAAGTATGTTGAGAATCCTGTGTTTTGACCAGTGTGGATAAAGAAGAAAGCAGAAAGAGAGCAAATGAAAATAACACTTGTATATTTATTTTAAAAAAAAAAAAGAAAAAAGTTTAAATTGTGTTTTAAATTTAGGAAAGAAATTTTTAAATAAGAACAAAATTTTAAAAGTTACTGTGTAAGCCTTGACATAATGGACAAATTGTTCCATCCAACAGTGAAATCACTCCCTGTTTCCTTACATGGAGAGGTAATTTTGTAACTGACGTATTTAATTCCTATTAAATGTTTATTTAAAATACTTTATGCTCTGGAAATAATGGGTAACAAAGCTTATGAAAATGTTTATAAAATTAAGCATGTTAGTACCATTTATAAATATGTATGATTTATAAGCTTTTTTAAAACAAAGCTCAGACAAATTGTTGGTATTTTTCTAAAATGTGCACAGCTGTATTTTACATGAAAGGCTATTTATAATTGGTTGTTATACTGTACACTACATTTTGGACAGCACAATGAAGCCTGCCAATGTACTTAATAATGTCATTTTGTCTATTTAAAGTTTCTTGCTGTCAAAGAATGAACTCTTTATCTATGAGTTTCTCTATTTATAATTCTTGACCCAAAATGTACAATGTACAGTTTTCACAACTGTATTTGCTCTAATAAAAATAAGTTGGTTATTAATAGAGTTTCAGACTAGTTTTTCCTGTTTATGAATGAATTTGTTCACTGTCTGGAAATAATTTTTCTAAGAAATTCAATAAACAAGGAGTGAAACAGGAAAATGGGTGAAGTCCTGGCCTCTCTAATACCATTGTGAGTTACTGTTTTCGACAAAATGGTTCTGAGAAACAATTAAAAATTGGAAAAAAAAAAAAAGTCAAGTTTCCTTATGTGTCTTCTTTTCTCTCCTGATACAGGAGTTTTTGTACCTTTATAAATTTAGTATCTAAAATAATATTTCCACTACAGGGATGGTTTAATCAGTCTTGTTTTAATCAGTGAGTGACTGGTCCATTAACGTCTGTTCTTATAAGTGAATCAACAACGTTTTTATACTTCCTTCTCAAGGTCTTCATAGGTTAAAAATTAACATGGAGTTTTTGAGCCAATATTCTACACAGAGAAAATTCACCATTATAATTGTCTTAAAGCCACCACATTTACTGAACTAGTAAATCAGCTGAGAATTTTATTTTCTGTTATTCCAGTTCAGATTAGTAGCCAAGTGTACTGAAATCCTAATGTTTAGTTGAGCAAATTCTCTCAGTAGTTCCTGTTTAGTGGCAACATATTTTTAGGAAGCACTTGTCTTATCTTACTCTTTAAAGTAATTCTACCAGCGTGAAACTTAATTTTAAGAATTTATATTATCTGTGCAATAACCCACTCCCTAAAGAAAATTTTTGACTCTTCAAGCAAAGTACATTCTCAAGAAAAATAAATGCAAATAACTGCAATGCCAGAAAATGTTAAAGTTCACCGAGACAGTTCTTCTCTGACCTTTTGTGATCCACATTGTATATAGCATGTTCAGTAATGAAGTAAAGTTGACATGAAGTATTTCTTAAGTTCTGTGAATGTAATAAAATACTCGGGCATAGATAAATCATAACAGCAATAAGCAAAGGATTTGCCCAGAATTAGAAGAAAAAAAGGTTTTCATAAACAACTGAGAAATATGACAGCTTTCCCTGCCCATCAGTGTCCGTAATTCTTTAAAAATCAATATGTACATAGAGAGACGATAATTTTTTCTATGGTGTCTGAAAGCAGATGGACAGTTCTCCTCTGAGGTGTTTTTACCAGTGGTTTGTATCAGTTGTAAACTTAGAAATGGGTTTATATGGGAATGCATCTGCCTATGTCTGAGGGGGGAAAAAAAACCAAAACATGGACACACAATGCAACTTAATGCTTCAAGGTTTGCTCTAGCATGGAAAATTTTATCCCAGTTCACTGCAAGTTGTTTGGGGTTTTTTCCCCAGGCAAAGTAGTTTCTCCTGGCACAGTTGTGTGTTTGCCCACAGATGCCAGTAAGCTGTGAGCTCTCACCTTTGAATTTGAGATCTGGTTTCTTGGGCAACTCCATTTATTTGGTTAAACACTGTATCTATAGTGTACAGAGAAAAACAGCAAATGAATGATGTTGAGGTGCCAAAGCCTGAAGAATAAAAATCATCTCTTATCATTGCTTTTTAGTGTATCTAGTTCTTTATTTACTTAGTAGGTATAGTTTTTACTTTCCCTTACCATCAGAAAAGCAATAAGGTCGCAAGGAGTGTGGAATCTTTTGCATTTGCTTTCCAAAAGGAGGGATTCAGTTTGACGGCAGAAATTTCTTGATATATGACTACAACTTGCCTTTCAGATACAGACATGTTAAAAAAATAATTAATACAACTGAATGCTGAAGAAATCAGGAGTAAACTCCTTTTTACAAGCGTTTGATTAAAAGTCAAGAAATACTTATTTACACAACTTTTAATGACACATTACGTGTCTATTAAAAGCTCTATTAAGATACAGTTACACAATATTAAAAGATTCTGACAGTATCCTGGATGCAATGATAAAAGCCTGTAGAAATTCACTACGTATTCAGCTACAGTAACATTCTTAGTTACTAAATAACTTAGAAGTTATTAAAAAAACATGGTTGTGAACTGTATCTAAATGGTTTTACTCATAGCTCATTTGAAACATTTAGTCAGGAGAGACAGTTCTACGTCCTGTTCTCCTATGGAAATGTAATTCAGTAAACAAAGCAAATGAAGGGAAATTAAATAAGCCTTTCAAATGAAGTAGTCTTCTCGTTCTCTCACTTAATATTCACAGAAACAGGAAAAAAATACAAATTATGTTAACTATGAGCAAGAAGCTCTGTATGGCAACATGCTGTAGCTGAGCCATCTACAGTATCCATCTTTTTTTTTCTGCTGGACGCAGAAACTGCAAAATAAGAGACATTACACCTCCTACCATTGTAGAAAGTAAATATAACTTCCGTACACAACATGTTTAAGAAAGCCTGTCTATAATGTCAGTGGCTTTTAGTTTAAGAGGAAGAAGCAAAAGCTTCATCTCTCTGAACAGTTTATGTTGTAACCATTGCTGTAAGAGCTGAGCAAATCCCTCACCCCCATAAAACTAATAGCAAAAATGAAGCTGATGACAGAATATATTAAAATCTCCTGTGTTTCTTCCTTTCATTTGCTAGAAGAAGAAAAAAAAGCAGGGAGCAGACATGTTTTTCATAATCTGATAATCTGAATTTCATCGTGTCAATATGTGTTTATTTCAGCTAATGTTTTTCACAGTGACTTGAGACTGGTTATCTAGGAGTTTTTAGGTGCAAAGTGGCAGTGCGTTGAGTGCCATTTCTCCAAGAGGAGGGCTCTGGGGTTTTTTCAGTGATAGAAAAGAACAGAGGTTTCCTTATCACCCTTGAAATGGCTTTGGTTCTATTTTTTCTATGCTTCCACTATTGTTTTAATTATGCTTCACTGCCTACCCTACCCACCCGCCCAGCTCTTGCAAATTCAAGTTGCTCTCCTTTTCCCCACACACTGCCATTTGCCCCCACACTTTCAGGCATTTGCTCCAATAACTCATGCTTTCTTTTTTAATTTTTTTTTCAATTGGGCACACTTTTTTAAGTGGCGAGTTTAGCTCTCGGTGACTATGGAAGCCATCTCTCTTCCAGTTTGTCCTATTGCATATGTCACACCACAATTATGATTTGGTCCCGTTTTCTGCATACTATCAACGCTGGTTTATGCAATTCTATTCTCATCTCAAAACTATACTCACCGTCTCCAGTATCAGGACAATGATTTAAACACAGTATGTGGGAACTGAAGAGAAAAGG